AGAGGTGGTGAAATGAGGGGTCTCACCATGCCTAAGAAGAGCAGAGAGGTCTGAGGCCCCTCAAGCGCCACAAGGCCATCCACTACTTAATGATAGCCTCCTGAAAGGGACCACACGGCAGAGTGGCCAGGAGAGGCAGGACTCTGCCCCTAGAACCCCAGCACCAGCAAAGACTCCATATCTCCCCTGCTGGGCTTCAAGGGACATGCTAATCTGATGTCAGCCATGGCCACAGTTGACCTTCCCTCCTAAGCCTTGGGGATTGTGACACAGCCTTGGAAGAATGAGGAGCCCTCTGCCAGGTGTGGTGGCTCACGCCTATAATCCCAGCAACTTTGGAAGGCTGAGGCGGACGGATCGCTTGAGGTCAGGAGTTCGAGACCAGCCTGGTCAATATGGCAAAACCTTGTTTCTACTAAACATACAAAAATTAGCTGGGCCTGCTAGTGGGCGTCTGTAATCCCAGCTACTTGGGAGGCTGAGGCAGGAGAATCACTTGAACCTGGCAGGCGGAGGTCACAGTGAGCCGAGATTGTACCATTGCACTCCAGCCTGGGCAACAGAGTGAGACTCTGTCCAAAAAAAAAAAAAAAAAAGAATGAGGAGTCCTCAAAACTGGCTGAGAAGAAAAGGAATAAAGAACTGACCCATGCTATAACATGTGACCCTTGAAAACATTATGCTCAGTGACAGAAGCCAGTCTCAGGAGACCATGAATTGTACAATTCCATTTATATAAGATGTCCAATATAGGCAAATTCATAGAGACAGAAAGTAGGTTAGTGGTTACTTATAAGTAGTAAATGAAAAATAGTAATACAGAAAAAGGAAAGAAAGTAGATTAGTGGTTGCCAGGGGCTGGGGGTGAGGTGAAATGGAGAGTGGCTGATTGGCGGGCGCAGGATTTCCTTATGGGGTGTGGGCATGTTCTGGAATTAGACAGTGGTGAGGGTTGTGAATATACTGAAAGTCTGAATTGTGGGCTTTAAAATGGTTAAAATAGTGAATTTTATGTTATTTAGATTTTAGTTCAATAAATTTAAAAAAAATCTTTGACGGAATTTTCTTTTCTTTTTTTTCTTTTTTTGACACGGAGTCTCATCCACTCTGTTGCCCAGGCTGGAGTGCAGTGGCAAGATCTCCGCTCACTGCAACCTCTGCCTCCCGGGTTCAAGCAATTCTTCTGCCTCAGACTCCTGAGTAGCTGGGACTACTGGCGTGCGCCACCACACCCAGTTAATTTTTGTATTTTCAGTAGAGATGGGATTTCACCATGTTGGCCAGGCTGGTATCGAACTCCTGCGCTCAAGTGATCCACCTGCCTCAGCCTCCCGAAGTGCTGGGATTACAGGCATGAGCCATTGCACCCAGCCTGGTGGAATTTTCTACCCCCATAATGGGATGGTGACCTGAAGTTACAATTCAGTTGACTTAAAAGAAGGAAAGAACATGTCATTATTTTTTCAACCTCTGAATTTGTGGGCCAGGAGTCACGCCTATTCCATAACTCTAAGAAAAGGAGATGGAGTCAATATCCTGAGACACAGGGGAAGGCAGGACAGAGCCATTCAGAGATGGGGACATACACTTTGTTAGACAGTAGTAAACAAACAAACAAACAAACAAACAAACAAAAACCCTGCCCAGAAGACCAAGGGAAGACTGGTGCTGGCCAGGCTGCATTTGAAATCTTCCCAGACTTCTACTTAAACTCACTCTAAGTCTGATCAAGTTTCCTGTTGGGCCTCTTTGACAGCATGTGACGTGGAAGTTCACATGCTGGAGTTCCCTGCGAAATTGTAGGTGTCCACTGTAAGAGTCTATGAATCTGAGGGAGTTTGAAAGCAGACGGGTTACTACTTGCTACACCTTCGTAGGACAAAACTGGGTCCTGAGAGGTAAGCAGTACATCCCCTGCTTGCTCCTGGGAGTACAGCTGGTGCAGCCTGTCACCCAAGCTCCTCAGGGAGGGCCGTCTTAGAAACTCTACAGTCGCTCAGGGATAGAGGGCAGGTTTTTTTTGTTTTGTTTTGTTTTCTGACGGAGTCTTGCTCTATTGCCCAGGCTGGAGTGCAGTGGCACGATCTCCACTCACTGCAAGCTCTGCCTCCTGGGTTCACACCATTCTCCTGCCTCAGCCTCCCGAGTAGCTGGGACTACAGGTGCCCGCCACCATGTCCGGCTAATTTTTTGTATTTTTAGTAGAGATGGGGTTTCACCATGTTAGCCAGGATGGTCTCCATCTCCTGACCTCGTCATCCGCCCGTCTCGGCCTCCCAAAGTGCTGGGATTACACACGTGAGCCACCAACCCCGGCCTAGGGCAGGGGGTCTTGATGGGTTTTACCTCAATTATGGTGTCCATTTTCATGAGCACCTTTTTCTTGAGGAAGCAGACCCTTTCACAGCCCTAAGGGTCATTTTCTTTTGGGTTCCCCCCAAAACAGACCCTGACACAAGGATTTAAGTGCAAGTAATTTATTTGGGGAGTGATCCCAGAAAGCATCAGGAGGGGAGCAGGGAAGTTGACAAGGGCACGCGGGGACTCTGGGAGGCTTAGATCCTGCTTCCGATAGGTCCTGGATGTCGTGATTGACTGGGAAGTTCCTAAGGTCAGCTCCACTGCCAGTGCGTTGGTATCACGCCTTTGTTACTCCTTTTTATGTCAATGGTTTATTCAAGAGTTTCTTTGCTGATCTGCTCCCAAACTGCTTTGTACCTGGTACCAAAGTTAATTTTCCTAAAGCATGGTGTGACCATGACCTTTCTTTGCTCAAACATCTTTGATGCTTCCTTGTGCCTATGTGAAGTCTGAAGCTTTGGGCCTGGTGTTCCAATGGGGCACTGCCCTAGGAACGGGGGATATAGCAGTGCCTCTGCCCTCACGCCACAGCTGGCCATCTGGTTGGGGATCAAGCAATGACAGTAGGATGTGTCAAGTGCTATGGGAAGAGAGGTGGAGAGTGTTCCAAAGGCCCAAAGGACAGGTGCCACAGTCTGGGATCACAGGAGGCTTAGGAGGCAGGGATTGCTGGTCATGCACATTTTCCATTCTCCCCTTCTTCCTGTCAGAATCTCTGCATTATTGAGCGTGGCAATGGCTTTAGCTAATTGCCCCTATACTCCACAGACTTACTTGGGATAGAAGTGGCCAGTGGAAGGTAAGTGGAAATCACTGGGGGTTCCAGAAAAACTCTTTAAAGGAGTCTGATTCAACAAGAGGCATGCCCTTTTCCCCTTGGTTTTTCCTACTTTCTGTAATCTGGTGTGCAGGTGTGATGGCTGGAACCACAATGGCCACAGTGTGACCATGAGGGAACCCTGAAGATGTAGGGTATATACTAAAGATGATGGTGAGCAGAAAGAGAGAAAGAGCTGGGGTCCCTGATAATCTTGGAGCTCTCAATCCAGCCCTGGGCTGATCACCTCTAGACTTCTTTCAGGTAAAAAACAAAACAAAACAAAGCAAAACAAAACAAACAAAAAACCCTTCTTTCTAATTAAACTCTTACTGGGGTTTTCTGTTGTAGTCTGCTGAACCTAATCTGAATGAATGCAGTATCCTAGAGACTGTGCAATCAGAAGCATTAGCAGAAATTTGGTAGGTAAACTAGGGTGCATGGGGGCTACAAGGAGGATTAGAAGGACCAAGGAGGAGATGGGTTCCAGGCAGAGGGAAGAGTGTTCAAAGGCCCAGAGGAAAGAGTCAGAATAGTTGGGTGTGTCTGGGGCTGGCAGATAAGGGGTGGGAGGAGAGGAAGCCTTAGGTAGGAGCAGGACTTCGACCATGAGGGACCTTCAGGCCTTGTAAAAAGATGGCCTTAACCCACAGGTAAAGGGACCCCTGAAGGAGTGGTCAGTTTGCACTTTAGGGAGATGCTGCGGGTGCGGAGTGGGAGGGGCTGGAAAGGAGGGAGCAAGAGTGGAGGCTGGGAGACCCCTTAGAAGGCTGCTGCTGTGGTCGGGCAAGAGAAGGCATTGGCTTGTACTTGGCCAGTGGCTAGAGGGATGGAGTGCAATGGGCAGACTAAGAGTTTAAAACGGGCCGGGCACGGCAGCTCACACCTGCAATCCTAGAACTTTGGGAGACCCAGGTGGGAGGATCGCTTGAGCCTGGGAGGCCGAGGCTGCAGTGAGCCGTGATTTTGACACTGCACTCCAGCCTGGGCTACAGAGCGAGACCCTGTCTCAAAAAATAAAAATAAAAATATTTTTAAAAGGAGAATTGACAAGAGTCAGTGGGCTATTGGATTTAGGGGAGGGAGCAGGAGGAGCTGCGGATGAAGAACTGTAGATTGAGAGAGGAACCAGAGGTGGGACTGAGAATGGTGGAGGGGAAAGAGGATCAGGGCTGGAGGCGTAGGGCCTCAGGCAACGCGAGGTCAGCTGAGGCAAGGGGCCAGTGAAGACTCCGGAGTCAGACACCCGCCAAGCACATACCTGCCTGGCGCCGCCTTCGGAAATGTCCTCGACCTCAAAATTCCACTTCTTGGACTTACCTGGGGGCGTTGTCAGCTAATATATGTGAAAGTCCCTGGCGCTTAGGAGGTGCTCGATAAATGTTAACTGAATCTGCAACGTTGCTTCGCTCGCTCCTTTAGACTCTACTCTCTCTGTGCTCATCGTTCGGACGTTTCTCTCCTTTATCAAGAGTTTGAGGGTCAAGTTACAGTCCCTACCACTCTCTGCTCTGGCTCCGGGGCAGCCGGGAAGAAAGGCGCTCATCTTCCCTGAGCCTCCCTGCACTGTCCCGGTGAACTTTATTCCCATTTTCACAGATGATGAGCAGGCGGCTGGGGAGGTGGAGCTGAGTTAGAACCAGGTCTCCCGGCTCCAAGACTGCGCTCCCAGCTCGGCAGCATCCGGCCTCCAGCCCAGGTGGCGAGGTCGGGGACCCGGCTGTCCCCGCTCCTCCACGCCTCCTCCCTCTCCGCGCCCGCCCTGCCCCGCCCCGCCCGGGTCCACGGCTCCCGGCTCCCGGCTCCCGCGCGCCGCCCCGCGCTCCTCCCCAGCCCGGCTGTGCGTGGAGGCTGCGGCTCGGTGGGGCAGGCGCTGAGCGCACGGCGGCGGCACCCGGCGCAGAGGCTCCGGCGCGGGGAGCCGGGCTCAGCCCCGGCCTGCGAGCGCCGCGGTCCTAGCCCACCCGAGGCCGGCCTGGGGGGCCCGCAGGGCGCGCGGAGCGCCGAGTGCGCATCGGGCTGGGCCCCGCACCCCGGTGCAGGAGCGCGGGCGCGGCGCGGCGGAGCGCCCCGCATGGAGCCGCCCCGGGAGCCCCCTGCGCGGGCCCGGCCGCCCCCGCCGGTCGCCGCGCGCCCCGCGCCCGCCCCCGCCGCCCCCGCCGCCCCCAGGCCTCGCTCGCCCGCAGAGGCTGAGGCCCGCGGCCCCGAGGGGCTACTGCGGCGATCCGGGTCGGGCTACGAGGGCAGCACCAGCTGGAAGGCGGCCTTGGAGGGTAAGCGCGGAGCGGCCTCCCTCTCCCGGCCCAGGGACCCCTGCCCAGGCCGGACCCGGGACCCGGAGGCGGTGAGAGTCACCTTGGCCGCTGTCCCAGAGGGGAGCGCTGGGAGCGCGGCGCCGGGACGCGGCGGAATCATTCATTTCGGGGCAGCCAGACGCCGCTTCATGGGGTGGGGTGGGAGGGAACCGGGGGCCATTGCGAGTCACAGCCTCGACCCCGCCGCTGCTGCGACTCCCTGTCTGACCTTGGAGCGCGCTTCACGCTCTGAGCCTTCGTCTCCTCACGCATGAAGGGGACAGCCACTGCCTGACACCCACCTGAGGGTGGCGGAATCTGTGGCCGTGAACATGCTTCAAGTAAAGTAAGAAAGCTGGAGACCCCAGAGGTGGTGCACGCCCCTGTGAGAGCCGCGGGGACCCCGTGTTGGTGGGGCATGTGGGGAGGGCAGGGCAGGGGTGGAGAATCCACGAGAGGCTGTTCCTTGCAAGGTCAGGGGTCACACCTACTCCTCCATCAGACTTCCTCAGGGAGGGACCCCTGGCCTGCCGCGGGGGCAGGAACCCAAGTGGAGAATTGATTTCAAGTTCACGAGCTCTTTTAGGAAACTCGTATTAGCTACCGCCGGCGGCGTGTGGTGTGGGAGATGCTAGAGTTGGTGAGAGGGTGGCTGGCCCTTTGGGTGTTTCTCAGGGTGCTCCTGGCAAGGGACAAGGAGGACCTGGGCAGCATTAACTAGGGAAGCCCGGAGCCTGGATCCTTATGGAGGCAGTGTCAGAAAAGGAGGGCTTCCTGGAGTAGGTGACCTCTGAGCGGGCGTGGAGACAGAGGGGAAGGTGTTCCAGACCCAGAGCATGATGATTCCGGGTCAGGTGGTCAAAGCTAGTCTGTCCTATGTGGGAACTGAGCCCTGGAGTACTGGGATGGGGCAGGGTGGAGAGAGACGGGTCTGAAGGACCCAGACGGTGAAGGGCCAGCCAGGTCTTGCCCAGGAGCTTGGACTTTGCTCTGAAGGGGCTGCTGAGGGGTGGAGACAGTGGGTTTGTCTTTGGAGGACTGGTGGTGGCCCAGAGGGGTGGGACTGAGGCTCGAGCTCAGGGAGGGGGTGGGGCAGTGCACCAGGAGGGACATAACCAGCACCTGGGCCAAGACAGGTCATGGGGGCTGCTGAGGGTGGTGAGGTGGGGATGGTAATGCCAGCCTTCTGCACGAAGGCTGTGGGCCAGGGGACGTGCACTGTCCCAGGAAGGGCTGTGCAGACTCTGAAGCTGGACCCCCAGACAGTGGCAGGGACGGAGGAGGCGAAGATGTTGCGTCACCGAGGAGAAGAGCTGTGGCAGAGCCGTGGGTTGTGAAGAGTTGTGTGGAATGGATGGAGGGGGTGGGACACCTCCCTGTGACGCTGTCTCCGGCTTTACTGTTGGAGTGGCCCTGTGTTCCCACACTTCCCTCCTGCCAAAGCTATTTCTTGAAGTTGTTCCCTCCTCTTGCCTGTGTTTCTTCATTCATTTATTCGTCAGCATTGCTGAAGGGTCTGTCCTAACCTTAACCGAAGCCCCCATGGTAGGGCTGCTTCTGGGCTGCTGTGGCTCTTCAATGCCTCCTGTTTGCTGTTCCTGTCCACCTCCTGCCCTGACTTCTACCCCTTTGGGCTTCCTCCTCTCCACTGTGGCTGGGCTGCCCACCTGCCAGTCAGGCTGCAGAAGAGACCACACACCAAGCTGGAAGGTCACCCAGAGGCTGCCTGGGACCCTGAGTCAAGCCCATTCCCATGCTTAGCATCTTCCTGTGGTCCAGCCTTGCCTCACCATGGCCTCTTGCCTTGCCTTGCTCTCTGACTCATGCCACCTGCAGTCCCCTCCTCCTCCTTTCCCTGGACTCCCCAGGAGCAGTCCTGCTCCTGATGGCCTGTGGTCCTTGGGTGCTCAGCCTCTCAGGCCTACTTTCTTTTCCTGCAGGAGTTTTAGGATCTGGAGTCTGAGTCTGACCAGGGGCCTCCCCTCGGCCAGTTCTCTGAAGGTCTCCTTGGGTACCCCCAAGCTCCTGTCTTCTGAGAGGAGCCTGGAAAAGGAGCCTGAGAGGAGACAGAGGGAAAGGTGTCCCAGACCCAGAGCACGACGTGTTCCGGGCCAGGTGGCCAGAGCTAGTCTGTCCCATGTGGGAACTAAGCCCTGGAGTACTGGGGGTGGGGCAGGGTGGAGAGAGGCAGGTCTGGAGGACCCAGATGGAAGGAGGGGTTCTCTTCTGGAGGACGCAGAAGAGAGGAGCTCGAGGAGCAGAGCTGGTCCTCTCCAGGGTGCTGCTGCAATGGCCCAGTGCTGGCTTTTGCACTGGTCTCCAGCATGCATTCATTCTTTCTGCAACATCCAGGTACCAATCTGGGCCCTGGGCACATTTGTGTTCTCTCAGAGGTTCCAAGACAGGGCCTGAGAGTGTGGGGAGATGCAGGAAGCAGAGCATCTGGTAAAGCTGGGGCAGAGCCTTCCATTGCCACAGGCTGGTGGGCTTTCCAACTTCTAGGAGCATTTGTTTCCTCATCTGCTAAGTCAGGTCATGATTTCTACCTCTCAGTAGACAGAGGCCCTGTAGTGTGGGCTGTGTGTACGGTGACTCCTCTTCCCAACTGCCTGGACTTGGCCTCCTGCAGCTCTGCCAGGGGAGCCCACGCCCAACTGCAACACTTTGACTTCTGGGCAGCCTCCCTTGATTCTGCTTCCCACCCCAAACCTGAGTCCAGAGTTCACGTAATGAAACACTGTCAATGGGAGGAGGGATCTGTCCCTTTGGGGACCCAGGGTTATGCTGCCCTTGCTTAGCCAAGCACCTGTCTTGAGAGAAATGGGACATTTCCTGACTTGACCAAGCTGAACCCTCCAAGAAGTCTCTGCTCCTTTATCGCCGGGTTTCCAATGCACATCAAGCACCTGCTACGTGCTGGAGCCGTGCTGGGGCTTTCATAGTCATCATCCCAGTCCTCACCTCTCCCCCTTGCAAGGGACTGGTGAGTGTTCTGTTTCATAGACGAGGGAGCCGAGACTGAGAGCCTGAATGTCTTGCCCAAGGACGTCCCAAAGCCCTGTTGTGAAGGCTCTGACCCCTTCCTGCATGGCCAAGGACATCAGCCTTGGTGAGGCTAGCTGGGGATCATCAAATTCCCACACACAGCCTCTCCTCCCCTGCTCCCCAGACAGCCCTGCCACCTCCAGCATTGACGTTTTTCCCTCCTTATGGGTTAAATGAGTCAGAGAGCTTCTTAAATCAGAAAGCTGGGATTACAGCCCAGGTCTTTAAGACTTTTCTGAGATGCATAACTAGCTTTATAAACAGGAAGTCAAACAGAAGTTGCCTTAATCGAGTATTTTCTCTCACTGTAGGTATGAACCTTTCCTTCCAGCCTGGGGTATGAGGCTAGAAAAGGTGACCCGGAGAGCCCGCCTGGGTTCTGGGAACAAGAGAGGTGATTCGAGATGGGGATATTTCCGGCATTGAGAGTGGCAGTGGGGCAGAGTGGCCTGGGGGTACGGGAGAGGGGACAGAGTGAGCCTGCGTGCCTCAGCCTATAGATTTTTCAGTGCTCACCAATTTTGAATTTTTAATGTTGAAAGTTTCTTGATTAGGCAAAAACCCACAACTTCCTGATCAAAACCACACACATGCTTTTAGCCTCTTAAAAATTTAAAAATTACCAAACTTCACATTTGGTAGTTTTTAAGTCAAGATTATGCTTGCCAGGCTGTGTCCCCGATGACTTAGAGACAGCAGCGTGGGCCTTTTTTGGGATATGAGTGTGAGGATGATAGGAGCTTTGTCTGGGCCTGGGAGTCAGGTTTTTTCAGTTGTTCTTTCTAATATTAGGCGAAATCACACACAGTTAGAAACCTAAATAAACTGCACCCTTAAACGCCATCTAATATGGGCCATGGCATAGTAGGGAACAAGAAATGAGTTAGATATTTGTTAGAGTTGAGTTGTGTCCCCACCAAAAAAGAGATGTTGGAGTCTTAACCTCTGGTACTTCTGAATGTGACTGCATATGGAAATACAGTCTGGCAGATTATTTGTAGTAAAGATGAGGTCAGATTGGGGTAGGGTGGGCCCTAATCCCGTATGAACTGGAATTCTTATAGGAAGATGGTCTCATGAAGACAAGGGCACTGTATTAGTCCGTTCTCACACTGCTAATAAAGACATACCCAAGACTGGATAACTTATAAAGGAAAGAGATTTAATGGACTTATAGTTCCACATGGCTGGGGAGGCCTCACAGTCATGAAGGAAGGTGAAGGAGGAGCAAAGACACGTCTTACATGGTAGCAGGCAAGAGTGTGTGCAGAGGAACTGCCCTTTATAAAACCATCAGATCTTGTGAGACTTATTCACTATCACAAGAACAGCATGATTTTGGAAAAACCTGCCTTCATGATTCAATTACCTCCCACCCAGACCCTCCCATGACACGTGGGAACTATGGGAACTACAATTCAAGATGAGAGCTGGGTGGGGACATAGTCGAACCACATAAGACACACCAAGAGAATACCATGTGATGATAAAGGCAGAGATTGGAGTGATGCGGCTGCAAGCCAAGGAGTGCCAAAGTCTGTCAGCAACCACTGGACACTAGGAAAAGGCAAGGAAGGAGTACCTGCAGAGTCAGAGGAAGCATGGTCCAGTGCAGCATCTAGAGAAATTATCCCTGAGACATAATGAAGAGGCACCTCGGGTCTGGCAGTGTTGGAGATACATGTACCGATCCCTCTACCCTGTGTGGTCTTTCCTACAAACTCAGTTGAATTTAAGGTCGATCAAGGATGTTGTCATTTGGTGTGACTAAATTTCTCGCATAGTTTTTGAGTCCCAGTGGGTGCTCTGTAACATGCAAGGCAATGACCCAGCCCTATTTCAGGGAATCTGAAGGTGAGTAAAGCACAGTCCTTACCCCAAAGGAGCCTAGGGCTGATGGTCATCATCACACTGATGGCCCGCATAATTGCCGC